CCTCCGCGGCCCCTTGGGCTTCCGCTGCCTCTACCTGGACGAGTACCGCGACCGGCTCTTCGTGGGTGCCAAGGACGCGCTCTACTCCCTTCGCCTGGACCGGCCCGGCGCTGACGCCAAGGAGGTGAGGTGACCCCTCTGCCGCAGCCGCCCCCTCCTGCACCGAGCTGTGCTCACTGCCTCCCTCTGCCCGCTCCCCTGGGGTTGTCTTTTTGCCCCATGCTGTGGGCAGAAAGGAACCGAAGCGCCGTCGGCGCGCCGGGTCACCGCAACGGGGTCGAGGGCTTGTGTACCCAAGCTGCCCGCGCTGGTGCCACGCTGCACCGAGTGCCTCGCAGCCCAGCGCCTGTCTGGCCCGTGTTTCAGATCCACTGGCCGCCTGGCCCCGGGCAGACGGAGGAGTGTGTCCGCAAGGGAAAGGACCCCGTGGTGAGTCCCTGTTGCCCCACATTGCCTGGGGGGCCCCAGGTGCTGGCTGGTTCCTCCTGCACCTACCCAGCGCCAGGGGAAACCACAGCTCCTCAATGGCTCTTTGTCCTTGTCCATGTGGCCGTGGCCTGGGCCACCTCGGCTGCTGCTCTAGTTGCTTTTTGGGGATTGCTCCATGCCCGGAGCGAGGTGGGAGCGAGCCACGGGGCCTGGCCTCGCCCTGGCCATGCCCTGGCGATGGGAAATCTGCAGCTCGGTCAGGTTTGGCGGCTCCGTCCCCCCAAACCTTATCCCCCTTTGCAATTACTCCCAGTCCCCTGCGCCCTGACACGAAACAGGAGCGGAGCGGGGAAGGCCCCCGCGGCTCCCCCGGCCCAGACTAATTGCTCCCGGGAGTGCCGGTCCCGCTCGGCATGTTTATTTTGCAAGCTCTCGCCAACAGATCCAGGCTGGGGGCAGGCTCGGTCTTTATTTTCCAAAGCGTTTTTTTTTTTTTTTTTTATGGTGCTATTTTAGAGGCTCTTTGTGAAGGGAAAATAAACAGCAGGGAGGCTGGGAACCCCCGGGGGCAGCGCAGCGGCCCCGTTCCCAGCGCACGAGGGGCCTCGCGCCCCTGCAGCGGGGGGTGACAGCGGAGGGCGAGCGGGGCTGGCGCTGGCCTGGAAGAGCCGAGCGCGGTTGTGCCCGAGCGGGAGCTGATGGGGATAGTGGGAATGCCGGTTCCAGACTGGATGTGTCCCGTGCCGCAGCTGCTGGCAATGACAGGGAGCCTGGGGTGGCTCTGAGCGGAGCTCCTGGCACCCGCTTGTGCCACCGCTGCGGGCGGCTGGTTTGGGATCCCGCGGGCTCTGCCATGGGGTTTCCTCCCCGTTCCGAGCCCTGAGGCCGTGACCTTGTGCCTCCGGCCCGGCCGTTATCGCAGCTCTCCAGGCCCCCCAGGCATTTCGAGTGGCCTCTTAGGACTGCGGGGACCTGGCCCCATCTAAGGCTCTGTCTGCGATAACCAGGGAGCCCCTCTGCCGTGGGCCTTCTCCAGCAGGAGACACAGGGTGATCCCACATGGGGCCAGGGGCAGCGGGTCCTGCCCTGGGGACAGCATCTGTGTCACCCAGAAAGGCTGGATGGGGACAGCGCCAGAGGCCACGTCGCGGAGCTGCCCTTCCCTCCTGGGCTGAGCCCTGGGATGGCGCGAGGCAGTCGGACAAGGCGCTGAATCCCTGCGGTTGCCGCCATGGGAGAGGGGCAGCCCGGGCCATTCCCCGCGGGCGGCAGCGCGGCACGGCCCCGGGCATCCGTCTTGCCTCTCCGGCTCCTGCGTTTCCTCTCTTTGTTTCCCCGGGCGGGAACAGGTGGGGAGGGACAGCTCCGGTCGGGGCCCCTGGGACTTTGCCGGCACCGCGTGGGAATTTCCCTTGGTAGCTCCCAAGGGGCCAGCAGGCCGGTGCCACCGTGCTGAGC